TTCAGTGGGGCCCTGAGTGGGGCGTATTTTAAATAATTGATCATTGAGAAGAAAGCAATTAATCTCTTTCACTGGCAGCTCTTTCTTTTTTAATGAAACGAATCTGTGCATTTCCCTGAGCGTATGTTAACTATCAACTAGAACAAAGACAAATGGGGCACCCAAAGTTAAAAATCTAAATATATCCTACGGAAGTTTGACCTTCCTAATGGAGATTTTGTGATCATTTCTGTATGAAAGTTTTGCTTTGTGCCATCGGTTAGAAGTATTTGCTAAGCTGTTAATATGAAACAGACCAAAGGTTTTTTAAAGCTTTGGATATTTTTGGTTAGTATACGTGCTGCCGAAGAGAGCACTGGATATTTTTGGCTAAAGAGAGGAACCCCTTTGTCAAAGTGTTACTTTCTTTCCTTTTTTAGTTTAATTTTGTAATTATTATTTTAGAGAGAGGGGGAGAGCACGATCAGGGGAGAGGAGCAGAGAGAGAATCTTAAGCAGGCTCCATGTTTAACCTGATGTGAGGCTCAGTCCTCTGACCCTGGGATCATGACCAGAGCTGAAATCAAGAGTCAAGACACTCAACCAATTGAGCCACCCAGGTGCCCCTTTTAAAATTTTTAAAAACATTTTTGGGTCACCTGGGTGGCTCAGTCGGTTAAGTGTCCGACATCGGCTCAGGTCATGATCTCACGGTTCGTGGGTTTTGAGCCCTGCGTTGGGTTCTGTGCTGACAGCTCAGAGCCTAGATCCTGTCTTTGGATTCTGTGTCTCCCTCTCTCTCTGACCCTCCCCTGCTCACGCTGTCTCTCTCTCAAAAAGAAATAAATAAAACATTAAAATTTTTTTTTAATTTTTCAAAAGTTAATTATGACACACAAATATAGGATGAACGTGTATCAAAGATGTATTTAATATGTTAATGAGGGAGCCAGCCATATGGTCAAGCTGGTCAAAGGAGAACCAAAGGAACAGGCTATAAAGACATTCAAGAAAGAATGTCAGGATAAGACGTCAGGGTTTACGTATAAACTGATTAGCAGTCCAGCAGGACAACAACACTGGACAGAAATCATCTGCATCTACTGGACAAATATCTATAAGTTTCCATTAACTTTAAAGTCTGGGCTTTTAATCAATAGTACAGAGCTTGTCAAACACAGAGCCAGTGCCCTGGGTGATGAAATAATCCTTGCGTGACCTGCTAAGACTCAGCCGGGCACTGGAAGAACTTGCTTCTTGCCCTTACCTTGTTTGCGCTAATTTTTCTTAACATCTTATTATCTAAGTGAGCTTGCACTTATATGAGGTTCCTAGAATGGTCAGAGAAAGGAGGAGAATGGTGGCTGCCAGGGGCTGGGGGAGGGGGAATAGGGAGTTACTGCTTAACGGGTACAGAGTTTCAGTTGTGCAAGATGGAAGATGTTCTGATGTTGGAGGGCAGCGCTGATTGTACAACAATGGGAACAATGGTAATACTTCACACCACCGGACTGGACATTTAAAAATGCTGAAGATGGTTAAGTTTCGTGTTGTGTGTATTTTACCACGATTTTAAAGAATTAGATGAGCTGACACATCGGTATATGAAGAGAAAGTTAACAATTCTTCATCCTTCTGAGATCACCAACTTAGTAACCCTGTGTTTGTGTGTTAACTTCTCCTTGTTGATAAAAGCACGCATAGACCTTTTCAAAAAAAAAAAAAAAAAAGAATTAGATTATTAAAATTCTTTATTCTGTAACATGTTCTTTTCACTTAAGGATACATTGAAGACAGGCCTCTGGGCTGTAGATATTGCTCTAATCCATTCTATTTACTACCAGCTCCATAGACTGGCCATGCCACAATTTATTGAACTCTTGCACAACTGATGGGCATTCAGGTTGTTTCCAGTTGTGTTCTGTTGCATTTGCTAGTACACTGTACTATAAAATTGTTTATAATCGGTGAAGGCCAGAATCTCAGTAGTGACAACAAGAAGGCAGAGGAGGGCATGATTCAAAGGAACACTTTGTTGGGAAAACAGGTAGGATTTCGGGGATAGTTGAGAATTTTGGTTTTACGAGCGGAGAATGAATAGTCCTGACATTTTACTGAAAGAAGGAGTAGAAGAAGAACAGAAGGTTATAGAGGGATGGCTTAGAAGCAAGAGGGTAGAGTTTGTTTTTATTTTTTTAATGTTTATTTTTGAGACAGAGAGAGACAGACCTGAGTGGGGGAGGCACAGAAAGAGAGGGAGACACGGAATCTGAAGCAGGCTCTAGGCTCTGAGCTGTCAGCACAGAGTCTGACATGGGGCTTGAACTCATGAACTGTGGTATCATGACCTGAGTCAAAGCTAGATGCTTAACCAACTGAGCTACACGGGCGCCCCACGGAGTTTGTTTTTTAAAATACCAGGCTTGAGAGAGGCATGCTGTCCATGCCCACTGGGCAGCAAAAAATAAGGGTCTAAAGGCTTAGGGAAGACATCACAGATTCAGACACTGATCCTTTGCACAAAGCCATAGTTGAAACCTATGAGAGTAGATGAGATCTGTTCCCAGGGTGGCCTTCTTCTAGAGGAAGGAGGTAGCATTCCAGGCAGTTACCTGCATTTAAGGGTCTGGCTAAGGGGACTGAGAAGCTGTGTCAGAGGAGGAATAGCAAGTAAAGACCTTTGATGACCCCTGCCTGTGGGTCTTTCTTCAAACACTGGCTTCCCTGTGTATAAACCACCAAAACTAATGGCATGGTTTGATAAGCCAATTTGGGCCACTGCTTTGAATTTGAGGACTAGGCCACATCAAATCTCAAAGGGGTGCAGAGTTCACTTGTAGTTTGGCAACTCCCAACAGAAGCTACAAAGTTGTTTTTGAAGACTATATTAGGTTTATATAGATGGGGACTTTTAAAAAGGGCTCAGTTTCACAAGCCCATGTGAAGTAGAAAGTCTGCGGCAAATACAACCAGTTTCTACAACACTTAACAAGTAGCTCTGAAGCTATCTCGACAATCTGGATTAGCATAAAGATCACCCTATTGCCAGTAGATCTTTTTATAAAGGATCTGTGAATTTTTAAACGTACCCAAGGTGATTGGAGGGGAAAATTGGAGGGAGTTAGTTACCATAAGTCCAAAGCATTATTTTGTCACTTCTCATGGCTTTAAGAAATACCCATGTTTGAAAGAGCAAGAGAGTCATCAAAATAGCTGATGTCACGGAGGAGTGACATTGCGGGAAGCCTGCCAAGTATGACGCCGGATTCACTGTGTTCCTAGTCGTACCTTAGATACCTTGGTTGAAGATTCCTGAAGAAGAATCAAAAGGAGTAAAGATGAGGACTCTTACCATAAAATACTTTGTCATCTTGTGGGAAAACAAGATATGTACGTAGAAGAATATTGAAGAAACCTCTCTGGGGCGTTCTGCGCACCCCAGGGTTGCGTTCGTTGCTGTTGAAGGAATTTGCAGTCGGAGTGCAGTTAGTCCGTACCTGAGTTCCTCCGACCCTCAGGACCCGTTAGTTAAGGAAGAAGCAGGTGTGCGAACAGTGGGGACAGTGGCAAGTTAGAGGACACAGCAGGTGGTGAATGAGCGGTTTTCCAGGTAATGTGATCAGAGTCGTATTTATAAGGGTGGTCATTATCAGGCATGATGGACTCAGGCCATCATCTTGGGTTACTTGATTATAAATTGCAAAGAAGGAGGTTGTAGCTGTGGAGTGTGGATGTAAACAAAGACTGATGCTTCCGCAGTGGAAAGCTTCTTTGTAGGGTCTGTGTCACCTTGAAAATCTCTAATGGCTTGGAGTAGGAGAGATTGCTACCAAAGGGTGGGTGGGAGAGTAAGCAAAGTATTCCGGGAGAACCTCACTGTGCTTAGCGCTAGATCATCCAGAGGCATTGATCCAGAGGCATCACGGGAACTAATTAGAGGAGCATTGGAGGTGTTCAGAATTCTCAGGAAAGCTAGTTAGTGGTTGAGCATCCCTTCTCCCTGCCCACTGGGTGCCTATTCCAGAGGCTTCAGGAAGAATCAGGACAAATCCAGGATTCTGCCTAAGGCCCTTAACTGTGTAGGAATCGCTCAACCAAGGTTGGCATCAAGAGGGTGTGACTGGAGGTTCCCAGCCATGGCTGCTGCTTCTCAGTCCTTTGACAGCGCAAAGTCTCCACTCTCAGGGTTTGCCTTGGGCTTTATTTTTGGACAAGTGGCTGTGCCCTCTTTGGGTCTTGTCTGAACACGTAGGCCACGCCCAAGCCCCTGGCACCCGTGGACCTGCTTCTTTGAGCTGTGTCCACGATCCATAGCTGTATGGTTGCGAAAGAGACACCGAAATCCGGACGCAGTAAAGCATTCCCTTCTGCATGTACTGAGGTCCTGAACGACAGTTTTATCTTGGACATGTTCCCTTTTCTTTCCCTTTCACCTGTTCATTTTTATCTCTCCCTATAATATATAATCGACTTATCCTATTTACTGCACAAAGAGAAAATGAAACGTCCAAATTATTCATAGCTGTGGCAAAGTATTTTCGGAGTGTGAAAAAATGGACTCAGACATTTCTGCTACTGCTTTTGGTATGGTGGGAATTTATTACTCAGCCCAGTAACAGTCTTGGCCCAACCCAGCCGGTTGTGTGGGCAAGAAGTGGGTACCTTTCCTGAATCGCACTGCCAGAGATACCTTTGTTCCTATCTGAGACAGCATGAACCAATGGTATCTTTCCATCAAAGGCAGATTATCTCAGAATCTTCGACATACCGCAAAAGTCATTGAGACCCAGCCAATGAATTTTCCTTGTATGAGATATTTCATCCCTCCCAAAAGGAGGGATATGAAATGGGAGGGAGGCAAGAGAGAACTCAGAGCCCAACAATAAATAGCTCTTTGTACGAGTCCCCTCCCCTCACCCCAAGCCACTGAGATCATGGAGTAAGTTTGCAGCACGCAGTGGAAGGCATCTGCTGCCCAGCGGCGTGACGGATGATGACCAAATGTGAACTTGTGTCCACAGTGTGCGGCTGTGACCTGGCACAAGGGGGCTTCTTCATAAAGAACGGCGAGTACCTCTGCACCCTGGATTACCAGAGGATGTATGGGACGCGCTGCCATGGCTGTGGGGAGTTCGTGGAAGGAGAGGTGGTTACTGCCCTGGGCAAGACCTATCATCCCAACTGCTTTGCGTGTACTATCTGCAAGTAAGTGGTGGCTTCCCCTAACGGAGACGTGCTGGGTTCTGCTCTTCGAGCCTGGGATATACACCTTTTGTCTTGAACTTCCTTTTTCTGATGTATCCTCTAAAAAAAATTCTTCCTATTAGTTTGTCAGTCAAAAAAAGTAATTTCGTTGTGAAACTTAACACATGATGTCCTCTACTAAATAATATGACTGATTTTAAGTGGCTCGAAGCCAAGTGCAAAAGCAACTCTAAGTCGTGAAACCTTTTGAGCCGTGAAAACATTAGGAGGAAATGTCATAAGTGCTTGGAAAGATAAAGCTGATTTGGAAGTAGAAGTTCATACGGGTGTGGGTGTTTGAAACAGTCTCATTTACTCTGTAGCAGGGCCGGGCAGACTCTGCCCCATGGCCCAAAGTAGACCCAATACCTGTCTTTGTAAATCAAGTTTTATTGGGATGCAGCCACACCCATTGATTTACAGATGGCTCTTTATGGCTGCGTTTGAGCTCCGGTGTCAGAATTGGGTAGTTGTGACAGACTCCATAGGATTCTCAGAGGCTAAAAAAGTATTTACAACCTGGACTTTCAGAGGGACGCATTTACCAACCTCTGTTCTCTAGGCTCCTATAATCTGGCAAGGTTAAATCTTAATTGCCCAAACCAGCTTGGTTAAAATCAGTCAGAGAGAAGAAGGAAAGTATGGGATGCGTGAGCTGGGAAATGCAGTTTCATCATTGTTTTGTGTCTAATGCTACCCATTATTGAATTTAAGATGGCTTTGATTCCTCTGGGAGGAGAGTCACCAGCAAGGGTCAGCTGCTTTATTGATGAATCCTAGTCAGGCAGTCTCATTCCTCTTGGTGCGGTGCTGACTGCTGTATGGTCCAGTTCGCCGTGGCTTTGTTAAAAACTACAGTTCAGAGGACGTGAACTTGCTTTGTTTTCCAGCATTTCACGTTTCTAGGCCAGAGAGATGTAAACTCTAAAAGGTAAACTTAATTTTATATAATTAACTAACTAGGTAATACTCAGAGACGAATCCCAAGATTCGTATTCAGAGGCGTATCCCAAGATGAAATACACATAGTGAAATAATTATTGTCACTTTTTATAGCCATTAGTCCATTTCTCAATTATATTTTTTAAGTCATAATTTTTAAAACTTCTGAATTATTAAGCCAAAAATTTTTCTGTCTTTAATCCAAAGTAAAGCTGCCTCTTGACCTCTCCCTTTTCAGGCTGTAACCCACAGCCTGGTTAACAGCCTCTGCCTGGTGTTTGAGTCCCAAGTTTCTAGTCCAGCTTCCTGGGCTGATTTGAGACCGATGTGAGTTAGCTTTTCCAAGCCAATTGCTTCATCTGTAAAATAGGAGGCTGTGATGCGAGAGATTCCCCAAACCAGGATGGGCGTTGGACTTTTTCCCTGGAGAAGGTCTCTTTACAAATTATCTGTTTCTAGCTTTCCACCCCCAAACTCTCCTGCTGAGTTAGTAGTTTCTGGAGAGTTCCCAAGTATGATGTTACTCAGCCGGGTTGGAAGGCCCTAGCCCAGATACACTCTAAGAGCCCTCCTGATCCTCGCCTTGAGAGATCATTGTTCCCAAGTTGGTGATGAAGGAAAGACATCTGTTAGTGCTCGTCCCGCCTCTGGACCTTTGAGGCAGCATACAGGTACTCACCGTTGCTGCTGTCTTGCTGTTGCTGTGACTGCTGGGTGACCACGGTCCGCCCCAAGTGGAGGCCTCCTTTCTGGGTGACAGACTGCATTCATGTCGAATCTACTCTAACCCTCTTAGCAGTTCTGTGAAGTCAGCCAGGAATTAGTGTCCCTAATTATGAGTGACTCTGAGACTCGGAGCTTAAGGAACATTCCCAAGTTAACACTGCAAGGCTAAGATTTGAACTCAGGTTTCCTGACTCCAAATGCGGTTCTCTTTTTGTTTACACACATTTATGCAAATAACAGAAGGAAGTGAACCCATGTGGGCAGAGGACCCAGAGGGCGGAAGGGGGAACTATTGACGAGGGTCATTTATAAAATCATAAAACTCAAAATTTAAAAGACCTGACCTCGTGTGAGAACGAGACTGTGATTTGTCCCCTTGCAGATCCAGGTGGGATTCAAGTCTAAAAATACAAGCTTGGCTTAGAGGTTAGAGAGGCAGCTTAGGGGGTGCAATTTGAGGGGGTGCTCACGCTCAGGGCCATGCACGGAGTATCTGTACCTGAGAGTTAGGGCCCCCTCAATTGCCGTGCGTCAGATGCCTCACTGGCCTCCCCCTAGCCCTGACCCTCATCGGAGGCAAAGAAACTGCACTTGCTTTGATCGACCCTCTAACTTTTGATGCCCCGGCCACAGAGCTGTCTGGAGCCTTGTTCAGTTTCATTAATGAAGCGATAGGCCTGCTGGCATCTACCAGAGCAGGTTTGATTGTTAAAGTTAGAGAAGTCCTGAGTTGGATGCCACCTATAGCTGCCTGTGCCTGGTCTCCTGAGCTGGTCAACCCAGGGAAGTCACTTAACCTCTCTGGGCCTTATCTGAACAATGGAAAGTAACACAGCACCATGAGAGGGGAGGAGACTGCCTCAGCTCAGCACTTGTAAAACAAGGAGGGGGTTGGGGGATGTAAGAGCTCACAACTCTTCACGAAGCACATCTGTGGAGTTGTTTTAAGTCCAAATTTACTACCTGTGTGTGTATTACGGTTCATTACCCACTGTGAGGCAGCCGAAGGGCCACTTACAGGAGGAATCACAGCTGTGAAAGTAAAATTAGTTTGTTCTTAAGTAATTGCTCCTGACTCACACGTGTGGGGATGTTTTGCTTGTGAGTTTTGCATTTCCAAACTGACGGAATCGCACGTTTGAAAACGCCTGTTAATGAAGAGTATTGGCAAATTGACAATTACGAGTAAGCAGCCGTGGAAACTGTCATACACCTCTTTGTTAATGACGTTTCTTTTTGAAACGCTAGCTGCCTGCTGAACTGGCAGGAGAATAAACTGGTAACATACACACAGAGGCAACATTTTTGCAAAATGTCTGTTACTGATGAATGTCTAAAGCAAAAGGAAATGATCTCTGAAAAGAAGCTAATAGTTTGTTTGTTTTTTTTTAAATTAGACACTAAAAGTTGTTAAAGAGGTATTTCCAGCACTGTTGTATTTCTCCACGAGGGACTGGGTCTCCAGCACTGAAACCTCCAGTTGACCCAGTGAGATGTCTAGGACAAAGTCTAATTGGGCAGTGACCTCGCAGGTCTAGGGAACTGAAGGAGTTAATGCTTGACCTGTAACCAGTTCTCCTGGGGAGGGGCCTTGAGCTTGAATAGGAATGTATGGCATTTGAAATATTTCTTCTTGAAGGAGAAAATGGAAAATTTTCGTGTGTGTACCTGGTAGGTGACTTGTTGAAACATCCCTCCACTAAGGAGTAGAGAGGTAAATCGTTCCATTTTACTGTCTGGTGGCCGGTGGAAGCGACACGTTCTCGCTTCTTCTCAAAACGAGGCATGTTTATTTGTTTGGACTGCATCCGGCTGGCTGGCTTGGTTGAGACTGCATTTCAGACATTGTGGCTGGTGCTCCTCAAAGAAACGGATTGGCACCGGAGGGCAGCAAGCCGAAGGAGTAGGGAAAGAGATTAAGTTGCTGGAATAACCTTGAGGGCAATGTCTTTCTGTCTCCAGGCGCCCGTTTCCACCCGGAGACCGAGTCACGTTCAATGGGAGAGACTGCCTTTGTCAGCTGTGTGCGCAGCCAATGTCGTCCAGCCCTAAAGAAGCCTCCTGCTCCAGCAGTAAGTGCCCCGGCCACCCGCTGACATGAGTCCCTCATAGCCCAAAGGTAGCTTAGGCAAGTGCCTTCCTTTTTGTGAAACTGGCTGGAGCCAAGCAGAGTCCCCCGTCTGAGGCATTTGCAATTATAAAACGTGAAGCCCGCACTAAAACCCACGAGTAAGAAGCATTTCCCTGATTTCAAAGACATCAATAGAACTGGACATCAAACCGTGCATTTTGAGAGCAAAAAAGGGAAGAGAATGATAAGACTTTACACGAGAAATGCCCATTCCCTTAGTCTTGGAGGATGAGTTATGCGGACATTTGATGGTGGAGTGCAATAGCTCTGTGTGTTAAAAAAAAGCTGTACCCAGCGGTGGTTTATACTTACCCTTAATTCTTTATGTTTGTGATCCTTAAATATATATTCCCTTGGAGGGTTTCTGACACTTACTCATTGAGTTTGTTGAGCACCTACAATGTGCGCACTGGAGATACAGGGATGAACAAAGACTCCGCATCCGTGGGAAGCTTACTTGCTAGCAGGAACAAGCAGACCATAGATGCATACACAAAAATACTTAATATATGAAGAGAATAAAAGTAGGAAGAAAAAGTGGGGTAAAGGGCTGCGTTTATAGGGGGCGACTGGGGGAGACCTCTCTTAAAAACCTAAGGAGAATCTGAAGAAAGTGACACGAGATATACAAGTGGCATGGGATTTATAATTCCTCATGATGAGGTCTTGTGTGACCCGTGGGAATCTAGAGAAAACTAACTTGCCCCCAAACCTTCCCCCAGCTAACTTCCTAAGAGTACCGGTCAGTCACACTGTTTCTTCTAGTAAATACCATTGGGTAAGTCAGTGAACTTACTTATAAGCAATGAAACTCTGCTTCCAGCTCCTTCCTGGGACATTAGGAAGTAGACCAGAAGTTTGCCTTGGTTTCTGTGAATTTTGCCAGTCTTGGGGAGGGCTGGAATAAATCATTCCACTAAGCCCCTCCAGTCTCACTATATAAGAATGAAATCAGCCACTTCTCGTCTGGAGGAATTCTATGCAATCTACAGCAGGGATTCCAAATCTTTTTGTTAAAGAATAATCCTTACACTTAGAGAGAGAGAGAGAGAATGAGAGAATGTTCTGACCAAAGCAGATGCATAGAAATTGTATTTGACCATTGGGAGGAAAGAAGAAAATAAATGTATGAGGGTGCCTGATTCAACATGACTGGATCCTTGGCATGTGAATTTCTAAGTCCTGTTGATAAATCACAGCAGCCTGAATAGAATAAGAGTACAAAGCAGGCCCTAGTCCTAGACACCTCGGGGAGTTCTAGTGCTTCACTCTTCTTACCTGCCCTGCCCCAAGCAGATCACTGGGAAGGTGATCTGGGGTGGGACTTGTCACCCCATTATCTGGGAAGGCCTGAAAGTATACAGCCAAAAACTTTGGAGGAGTTCTTCAGTTTGGTTAAGAAGCAAAGGATTTGGGGCACCTGGGTGGCTCAGTTGGCTAAGTGTCCGACTTCAGCTTAGGTCACTATCTCACCGTTTGTGGGTTCGAGCCCCACATCAGGCTTGCTGCTGTCAACACAGAGCCCCCTTTGGATCCTCTGTGCCCCCATCTCTGTCTGCCCCTCCCCCCCCATACTCATTCTCTCTCTCTTTCAAAAATAAATAAACATTAAAAAAAAAAAAAAAAAGAGGGGCACCTGGGTGCCTCAGTCGGTTAGGCGTCCAACTTCGGCTCAGGTCATGATCTTGCAGTTTGTGAGTTCGAGCCCTGCATCGGGCTCTGTGCTGACAGCTCATCCTGCTTCGGATTCTGTGTCTCCCTCTCTCTCTGCCTCTCCCCTGCTCATGCTCTGTCTCTCTCTGTCTCTCAATAATACGTAAACATTAAAAAAAATTTTTTAAGGAAAAAAAAAAGAAAGAAACGGAAGTAGATATTTTTAAAGGTTTCCTGTCCTCTTTGTCCGTGCAGTTGGGGAGCGGGATTCCTCATCACCGTGCTACCAAAATGGTTATTCCAATTTTTATTAAACTTGATTTTGCTTTATCTGTATTTTCCATCTTATATGACTTACATGTTATGCACACAATAAAGAAATAAAAATTTTAAGTGTAAAAATGTATCATACTCAAATTCATTTTATCTTTAATGCTAGATGTAATAACAGTTGCTCCTGTGCAAATTGTTGGACAAAATCATATTTTCTCCTTTGCCCTCAAAGGATGAAATCTCTTTTCTATGCAACTGCCTTGGTCAGAACAGTTTTATTTTCAACAAGTACTTGTCTATTTAGATCAGTACTGAAATAACATTTATGGGGCCCATATGTGGGTGTCTCTTAAAAAAAGAGTTCATATATATGGATACACATATGCAAAATACCCAAACCAGGCAGGCACACAAATACTAGAGCAAGGGAATTTTCAGCAGGTTGCTGAAATTCACTGGAGCATAATTAGAAAACACTTGGTTACTCTTTGTAATTCTTTTAAGAATTGTCCTATACATTAAACTATCCTTGTGTGACTTTAATTCTTACTTTAAAAATTTCTTAAACTTGGGACACGTGGGTGCCTCAATCGGTTGAGCGTCTGACTCTTGATCTCAGCTCAGGTCTTGATCTCAGGGCTGTGAGTTCAAGCCCCATGTTGGGCTCCACACTGGTCTCTGTGCTGGGCATGGAGCCTACTTTAAAAAAATAACTTAAACCTGGAAAATCTCCCTAAATCAAAGCAAAAAGTGAAATGCCTCTTTGATACTGTTCACAGAGTCAATGAAATAGATCAGAGAGCCAAGGTCCTCTTTCTCCTTTGAAATGTTCTTTGAAAAACGAATTTGCTCTTCTGAACTGCAATTTTATTTCACAATCGGTGGCTGGTTTCTCATCATCACTGAATAGGAGGTGAAAGACAGTGTGAGAGGAAGAGAAGAAGTAAAGGGTGGTCAACAGAAGCTAAGTCAGTGATGTGATGAGGATTCACACAGAGCAATTTCTGCTTGAGCCTCCTGGATAGGGGTGTGGTTTCTGCTACAGCCAATCAGGAGCTACCTTGTCTGCACTGCTCTGGTTTAGAGAAGACTCCCTGTGGGGTGCCTGTGATGTCATGGTGCTCCCTTCCACCTTACATTCTTTTCACCTTTATATGTATTTTGTCTTTTCATCGAACACTGTCAGAGTACTCACCGTGGATCAGGTCCTGTATAACTGGTCCATGCATTTTAACTGCTCCAGATGCCGTACTGTATACTTGATGTCTATGTCACAACATGGACACCACTTTAACATGGAACCTCGAACGGTGGCCTGACGTGTCCTCATGTTTACCTGAGTGTCCTGCCTCCTTTCTACACACCATAGCTGTCTTGCTTTTTTAGCAAGATTTGATGAATGGAAACCATCAGGAAGTTATTCATGGAAGCAAACTACTTCCCTTAATGATGATCGCCCCTGAATTAGTTAAAACTCTTGCTGCATCCAGTCCAGTGCAATTTGAATCCAATAAGCAATAAGCCTTCTATAACACGGAGTGATAGTAAAAATTTCTTCAGAGGATTGTGATGAACGTTAATTAAGCTGTTTTTACTGCTTAAAAACCAATTGCCCCGTCTAGCTGATCCACACTTTAAAAATTAAAAGCGACATCCAGAAGACATTAAGTCCTACTAGAAGGTCATGTGCACTAAGGCTTAATTTTTCTCCGGGCTTCACGTGTTTGCCAGCAGTTGAGGAACTGGATTCACAGGGGTTAAGGAGCCATTTGAGGAGGAGGTACGTGTGTGGTATCCTAGGGTGTAGGGAATCAGGTTTGGATTGTCGTTTCCTCCACGGCTTCTGTCTATTTCAGGCACCTGAGCAGGAGTGGGCTGCTGTCTACAATTACCTTTTCCATTTCAAAGGGTGTCTGACTAGTGTCTGATTGCGTGTGGGTTTGGTGGATTGACGAGGCGACCACCCACACACAGATACAGGCCAGCCCACCTTCCTCTCTCCCCACCTCTGCACAGCATTCTCATGATTCCAACTGCGGTAGGAATTCCTACAGGTATCGGGGCAAATGCTCTAGTTGGCCTGAATTTAAATCCTTTCAGATAAAGAATCATGTGCATGTTTTCAAAGGCGAGGAAGAACTTTTCCATTATTTTCCATTTCTATTCTGTGCAATAGCTTTTAATAGCTGCAAGGTAATTTTTATTTTATCTTAAATTCTCTCCCCAAAATCATCTGCAGGTTGAGTGGGACTTGTCTGCCGAGACGCCTAGCAATAGGCGGGGTAGTGATGAGCCGACGCTGCCGTCTGGCTGACTGGGTCAAGTCCTAGCTCTGCCTCTTGCTAGCAATCTCTTTACCTCCCCAGCCTCCATTGCCTTGTCTGTAAAATGGGATGGTAATAGTTACCTACCTTGTAGGAATTAAATGGGTACATGTATGAAAGTGCGGTTTAGCTGTAAGGCAGTAACTTCCTGTTCTGGCATTCATTTTTGAATATTTGTGTGAGGCCGTCACTCCTTTTTGTGACATTGCTTTTCACTCTGCTGTTCATGGTGTGTCTTTATCTGCTCATTGGATACCTTGCATCAGTTTAAAAACCAGTGAAGGTAGGAACACATCCGCACAGATAACCCATGGATTCTTGGAGTTTGACTCTTGGTGATGTGTTTTAGGGCAGGATCTCCAAAATCAGATCTGTGCCTCCTTGTTTACATACTTTTTTCCTGCGGGAGAGGATGTATGGGTTCTGAACATGTGGTGGCTGGTTTGAATCCCATTTCTACCACACACAGGCTGTGTAGCCTTGAAAGCTCAGTCTCTGCCTCCATTTGTTTTGTTTGCCTACAAAACAGGAAATAATAGTTCCTTTTTCAATGGATTGTTGTGCTGATTCATGTGAATAACATGTTTGAAAGATTCATGACATTTAATAAGCTCATCTGTATGCTCACCATTATTCTTTATGGAACTTACAAGACTAGAACTTGAGCTTTAGAGCCATTTAGAGCCAGAAA